TGGTGTGGAGGTGACTTGGGCTTTTGAAGGTCCTACCAGCAGAGTAGAAGCTCGGAGAGGGCACGTCCTACATCCATCCTCTACTTTGTACTCTCACAGCCACATCCCTGGTTCAGACTATCAGCCCTCCCCCCCCCCCAGGCTGTTGCAATCGTCTCCTAATTGGCCTGCCTGCTCCAATCCCTTCTACACACAGCTGCTGAAGTGATTTCCCTAAAACACAGGTCACTCTCTGCTCATCAAACTCCAATTACTCCCTATTACCTCTAGGATCAAATGCAAACTCGTTTATTTAGGCCTCAAACTACCTTTCCAAACTTAGTACACATGACCGTTATCTCCTTCATCTACAATCCAGCCCACCTTGCCTTACTGTTCTTCATGCACAGTGGTCCATTTCCATCTCCATACCTAGAATGCATTCCTTCTTCAGCTCTGATTCTTAGAATCTCTAGTTTTCTCCAAAGCTCAGCTCAAACCCCACTTCCTACAGGAAGGCCTTTTCCGATCCCCCCAGGAACTAGTATCTCTGCCCTATTACCTTGAATTTTTGTTTGTTTTTACACACACACACACACACACACACACACACACACACACACACACACATTTTGTCTTCTATGATGGAATGTAAGCTCTTTGTGGGCAATAACCATTTAATTTGCCTCCCCCCTTTCATCTCCCAGGGATTTATCGCTCCTGCTTGCTTCATCAAACAGCAAATTTCCTCAAGATCCTCTAGGTCAGGCTGATGCTGCTATGAGCCCTGGGGGAATGCCCCTCTGGGGAAGCACCCCAACTCTAACAGATCTGCCACCTCTGGGCCCTTCTAAGGGCCAACAGCCTTCTCTCACTCTGACCTTGGAAGAAAGGAAGAAAACAAACATTTATTAAGCAACTATTACATGCCAGGCAAGTGGCTCAATGCTTTACAAATACTATCTTTTTTGATCCTCACCACAACCCTGGGAGGCCCAGGCCTGGCACTTAGGAGGTGCTTAATTGATTCTAGATTGATTGATTGCCAGGTTCTACAAAGCTAGAAGGATCCCAATGGGGAGTCAGTGACAGGCTGTATGTCTGCCTAGCTAAGAATGAGGAGGGTCATTAAAAGTTAGCCACCAGCAAAATAAATTTCACAGCCACAGAAACTCTCAGAACACCTACCAAATTACAGAGGGGTCGTAATCTGAGGTGGTGGAGGGCATGCCCACACTGATAAAATCATCAAGCTTTGAAGTATTGGTGTATATGTAATTTTATGATATAAAATTATTAGAGCAATTTATCATATTTAAATATAATATAATTATATGAATAATTAGGCATTACAAAGACATTGTTTAATAATATTCTTAACTCTGCTATTTACAACCTATACAGATTTGGGCAAGTTCCTAACCCTCCCTGGGCCTCAGTTTCCTCATTTGTAAAATGAGAAGGTTGAGTTAAATGATCTCCAAAGTCCCTTCAAACTCTGCATTGAAAGATATCCTTATAACTACACACATTTCTGTAATATTTAAAAGTTTTCAAAGGACTTTGCTCACAACTCTGTAAGGTGTGCTTGAGCTCTCTTTGACAAAAGGAGAAACTTGATCACACAACCGGCGAACACTGGAGCCTGGATTCAAACCTCATGCTCCTAGCTTAAAGCCCAGTTTCTTTCTACTCTGCTGCCACTTATAAGTCCACTTCCTCAAAGGCCCGTGGAAGGTGCCTTGCTCAAGGTCACACAATGAGGCAGCAGCAGAGGTCATATTCAAACCCAGGCCCTTTAACCTTCAGCCTTATCTTCCCCATGTCCCAAGTGCCTGTCCTAGACTGGCTGAAGGAAGCTAGGTATCACAGTGGAGAGAGCACAGTGCATGAAGTCAAGAAGACTTGAGTTCAAATCCAGTCTCAGATATTCACTAGCCATGTGACCTAGCACAAGTTACTTAACCTCTGTCTACCTCAGTTTCCTCACCTGTAAAATGGGGATACCAGCACTTACCTACCAGGGTTGCCATAAGGATCAAATGAGGTGATATTTATAAAGCACTGAGCCACATGCTTGGCACATAATAGTTGCTTAATAAATGTTTGTTTTAGGGGGCAGCTAGGTGGTGCAGTGGATAGAGCACCGGCCCTGAAGTCAAGAGGACCTGATTTCAAATCTAGCCTCAGACCAAACACTTGACACTCACTAGCTATGTGACCCTGGGCAAGTCACTTACCTCCAATTGCCTAAAAAAAATAAATGTTTGTTTTCTTCCTTTCTTCCAAGGTCACACAGTCAGAGAAGGCTGTTGGCCCTTAGAGGGGCCCAGAGGTGGCAGATCTATTAGAGAGGTGCTGCCCCAAAGGGGCATCCCCCCCCAGGGCTCATAGCAACATTAGCCTAACCTAGAAGATCTTGAGGAAATGTACTGTTCCCTGAAGAAAGCGGGGAGCAAACAGTAGCAACAGCAACAAAGCCCTGGCAGATGGAAACAAGATCGGGATGAGGCCGTTTGGTGATGCAGAAAGAGTCACGAACTCTGGTTCAGACCTTAGCGCTTCCTAGCCCTGAGAGCTTAAGACAAAGTTCCCCTCTCTGGGACCAGATTCCTCATACTTGAAATGAGGGGATGTGTGCCCTCTCGGATGAGCTCTGAGGTCTCTTCCAGCTGTCCTGTGCAAATATGCTGATCACCCACACTCTCTAGTGGGGTCAGCAGAAGGAATCCTTTCTCTCCTTCACAAGCTCCAGCAGACAGCCCAAGAGGGACCACTGTATCATATATCTGAGCTTGAAGGGTATTAGTCCAATTCTGCAAGTCCTTCATTTTGTTAAAAAAAAAGGGGGGGAAACTGAGGCACAAGGAGGTAAAGTGATTGGCCCAGGTATACAGGTAGTAAACATCAGGAGCAGAATTAGAACCCGGTCCTATGATTTCAGAATCAATGCTCTTTCTGCTACGCTATGATGACGTAGGACTCGTGTACCTTCTCCCTCCCTGCACCAATATCATCCACAGAAGGATTCAAGGTGATATGGACTAGTAGAGCATTCAGCCCTGAGTGTCTATTCCCCTAGGGTCATCAGGGCCTGTGAGCAAATCCTTCCCCCTTCTGCCTCCAAGCCTGTCTATCTGCCCAGTGAGGTGAGGGTACAAGTGGGGACTGCTTAGGACCACCACCCAAGTGAGCCAGGGAACAACATCCTGCCGGGCAGAGGGCAGGGGGAACGAGACAGGTCAAGCCGTCCCATGTGGGGCTCCTTCATCCATGGTCACAGACTGGAAGGAAGCAGGGCAGAGCTTCTATGGCCACCTCCACTCCACCCCCGAGCCTGTCAAATAAGAGCATCAAGCCATAGAACCTTTCACCATCAGAGCCTGAAGTCATCTTAGGACACAATGTTAGAGCTGGAAGGAACCTGAGAACATAGAATACTGAAACTGGAAGTGACCTTAGAACACAAAACTATAGAATATTACAACTGGACAAGGTATTAGAAAATGTGATGTTAAAGCTGGAAGAACATAGAATGACTTCCATGTAAATAAAGACAACAATAACAGCCACAAAAGCCAGATAAATAGAGAGGAATCAGGTCACAGAAACAACAGGGCAATTTTGTTACTACCTCGGTAAAATTATTTTGGCTTTTAAAAAAATCTGTAAATAACAAGTTTATAGTTACATGTACAATCATTTACAATCACTCATTTTGTTATAGTCTATTTGCTTTTGTTTTTTTTTTGTTCTTATTTATATAATATGTATACTTGTCAATGGAAGTTAACATAGTAATAATAAAAAGAACACAGACTGTGAGAGGGAAAAAAACCATCTGAGCTGGAAGAGATCTCAGACCAAAGAACATCAGAAAATAGAATGTGGAACACCAGAGATTGAAGGGACCTTAGAACACAGTGTTAGAACAGAGAATACTCAAGCTAGAATATTTGTGCTAAAGAGGATCCCAGGCTGTCTAGCCCAGTCCTTACCTGAAACAAGAACCCCCTCCTCAACATTCCTACCAAGGGTCATTTGTGTAGCTTCAGCCTGAACCTCTGACTTGTAGAACTTCTATGCGGTGGTCTTAGTTCTGCCCTCTCTTGGGGTCAAGAGAAAAAATCTGCCCCCTTTTCCAAAGGTGAGCCCTTGGGATACTTGAAAACATAGAGCACAGCCCCACCCCAACCCCAAGTCTTCTTTATTTGAGGCTAAATGGCATCCTAATACCATGCTATTGCTCCACAGACCCATAGATCAAATGGTCCCCCAACGGAGGTGAAAGGTGGTCACCATTCACACCTTTGCCTGGAAGGGCCATATTAATAATAACTCCCACTTCCATAATGCCTTCATCACAACCCTACAGAGTGCATTACCCTCATTTTATAATGGGAGAAACTGAGGCCCAGAGATGTAAATTAACTTGACAGTAGAATCATAGATTTAGAGCTGGAAGGGACCTTAGAGACCATTAAGTCCAAACCTCACATTTACAAATGAGGAAACTGAGGCATGGACCAGGTAAGTGACTGGTCTATGGCCATACCTATTAGAAATAAGTTGAGATGCTTCACTGGGGCCTCCTGGCTGTTGAATACAACCCTCTTCCCACTTGACCCATTTTCCTAGAAATGCCATCTTCAGCACCAGGCCAAAACCTGGGTAGGGGAAGGCTTAAAGGGGTCAAAAGATCAGAATCACCCCCTCTCCAATTCATCTCTTCTTCCTCTTTTTCCCTTCACCCCTCCCATGCCTAGGAGGGTGGGGGGAGCTGAGCATCTGCCACAATCCCCTCCTGCCTTTGGGGACCGCTCTTTATCTGTAGAGGGTGACAGTGGGTGTCAGCAGCAGAGAAAGAAGTTATATTGATAGATGTCAAACCCAGGCCCCCCCTTCGAGCAGCCGCTGACAATAGGCAGTTCTGCTGGATGAACTCGCCTGAGGTTCTCAGGGGAAAAGAAAAAAAAACCTTTTTTTTTTTTTACTGTTTAATTGAATATTTGAATAATCCTTTCATTCCTCCGAGGAATAAAGAATGTTGTCCAAATAACATTGACTCACTCCATTGGGAGACAGAGAAACAGTTGCAAAGGCTGTCGGGCACAATGGCCCCCCTCACACATCTCCAGCCTCTGGGATGATGTGTGTACCCTCAAGTGGGCCTGCTATTCAAGACGCCTTTTGTTGGCGAGAAGCTGTTGATAAATTGCAAACGCTTAAGGGAATGTGCGCTCTGAAAGCCGCCCGGTCCCCGCCTGCTGCCGCCGAGCTCCCTGAATGTGAGTCATGAAATCGAATGTTAGGTCAATCCATTAAGCTTCTATTAAGCCCTTCTGTAGAACAAAGCTACCCTGGGCCGTCTCCATAAATATTGCTATTTTGAGAAGAGGGGTCCTAATTTTAATTAAGCCTCTTTACCTGCTCAGGAGAGAAATCTATTTAGACACCAAATGGCTGTCCCTTGTGCAGTGCGTGAAGGCAAGCTCCGATTGTGCTATTGCGGGGTGTTGGGGAGGGGGAGGCAGGGAGAGATGAATACAACCCCAGGTCCTCTGCTTGCTATGGGCTCATCCTCCCCAGTTGGGTCAACCCCTGACCTGTTTCCAAACCGCCCACCAAGAGACTGCCCAGTCCGGCTTCCCAGGGGGAAAAATGGAAAGGGGTTAGGGGTCCAGAAGACACCCACACCCACACCCACACACACACACACACAAGTTTGCTAAGTTCTGATAGGTGGGAGAAGGGGTAACAGGGAGAGGTTGGGTTTAGCAGTGTGGAATGCTGGAAAGGTTTTGGGCTAGGAATCAGGAGATCTAGGTTCTAGTCCTGGCTTTGTCATCAACTTAAAGAAAATTTCATAGGAGATGTAGATTATATATGTGTGTATACATATCTGCATGTGTATACATGTATATATATATATATATATATATATATACATATGTGTATGTATGTGTACGTGTATAGATAGGTAGATGAGACAGAGAGAGAGAGACAGAGAGACAGAGAGAGAGAGAGAGAGAGAGAGAGAGAGAGAGAGAGAGAGAGAGAGAGAGAGAGAGAGAGAGAGAGAGATTTCACCCTTGGGATATCAGGAAAGGTAAAATATAGACTGCTGACTGTAATTAAAGGAGCCAGGTTCAAATCCAACCTTGGATGTTTACTGCCTTTGTGACCTTGGACTTAACCACCCTGGGCTTTTCTCATTTGTAAAAATAAGTTGGTTGGAGAGAAATGGCTTCTGAGTTCCTTCCCTTCCCTATAGCCTAAAGGTCTTTCCTCTTCTAGCCTATGATGTAGGACCCCTTCAAGCTGTAAATGGTATGATTCTATGAAAATTATATGGGCTAATATTCCAACTACCTCTTAGATCTCTGTTCTAAGACCCTTTCACTTCTCATGTTCTAAGGTCTCTTTCTGCTCTGCAATTCTGTATTCTAAGGTTCCATCTTGGAGGAGTGCCTTAGGGGCAAAGATAGAAACTGTGAAGACCTGAAATACTTACCCAAAGTGGACAAGAGGAGATGTGGTATAGAAGGATACCTAAGTCCTTAAGGAAATTGAGCAGACTCCTCTGGGCCACACTCTGATGCTGATCCATATATAGTATAGTGGGAATTAAATCCAGAGGTTAAATCCACTTACTAGCCAATCAAGGACATGTGACCTTAATCGTGTAACTTTACTATTCTGAATCTCTGTTTCCTCATTCATGAAATGGGGATAAACATTGCCCTAAATGCCTCGTGGACTTGTGATAAGGGGAACTTTTTTTTTCTAGACCGGAGGCCCTATAGAAATGTTGACAATTCTATTAATAATAATTAATAGTAAATTTTAAAGTGTTATAGGAATGAGAGCTAGTTACAGGAGTAGGAAATGGGGTAGTGTGGGAGGATGGAAGGAAGAAGCTGGGACTCTAACAGATGTTATCAGATCAGTCTGGGCAGAAATGTGGAGGTGGAGATGGAGGGGAGAGGGAAGCAGGTTACAGAACTATAAGCCCAGAGAAAGGGAGAAAAAGATTGTTGAGACAGAGAAAGGATTTGAGTTGGGGGGATGGGACAAGTAGGCGCTTTCTTTGCCACCGATTATTCTGGGATATTTAGTCTGGGTCAGAAGGGAGCTAATCGTGGAAACACAGAGGTCCTGGGCCAGGAGCCCAAAAGGGCGGCACCCAGGGTGATGAGCAGATGTGTACCCAAGTTGGCCCAAAGACCTCCTCCAACTGAGGTGATTATGCCCCACAGTTCTTTCCTGGACAGGGGAGAAGAGGGCGATTATCTATGAAGGATATCTTCTCCTGTCCCCTGAGGGCAGTCTCCCCATCCCCATCAGTTATGTGCTCTCTAGGGACTCTACTGGGATTGGGAATTATATGGCTTACTTCTGGAATTTAGGGAAATTCTAGGCATGGAGCTAATTATAATAATAATTTAGGATTACATGATTTAGAATAGGAAGGAGCCTAATCAAAATCTCCCATTTTATAGATGAAGAAACTGAGGCCCAGGGGGGTCCAAGGACAAACAACTAGTAAATACCTTAACTGGGATTTCAACTCATGTCTTCAAATTACAAATACAGTGTTCTTTTCAGTTATACTATACTCTCACATTTATACAACACTTTGTAAAATAAATACTATATAAATGTAAATCATTATTGTTGTTGCTATGATTTACAAAATACTTTACCTACTTCCTCATCTGTAAAATGAAAAATGTGGACTAGATGACCTATAAGTTCCCTTCTGGCTCTAAATCTATGATCTTATGATCTTCACTGACATTATTTCATTTGATCCTCACAATAACCCAATGGGAAGGTAGCAGAGGTAGCATTGTCCCCATCTTATGGATGAAAATACTAAGGAAAGAAGTGACTTGTCCAAGGTCACATAGCGACAGAACTGGTGTTTGTGTTCATCCTCTAATGATTCTGCATTCAGTGTGATTTCCAATGTGCCACCCACTCTTAGCACCTTCATTTCTGATCACTACTCAATAGCCTGGGGTATGTCAAAATAAGAAGTAGTTCTTCTAGAAAAACAGAACTCACCATTCCCCATAGACTTAAGGAAATTAAGCAGACTGATCAAATTCTGAAGTCCTCTCTGGGCCAGACCCTGCTGCTGAACCATGTATATAGTGTAGTGGGAAATTAAATGCAATGGTTAAGTGGATTCACTTACTAACTGATCAATAGGACATGTGACTGTAGTCATGTAATTTCGCTATTCTGAACCTCTTCACTTCTGTGAAGTTTGGATTCAGTCAAAGGGCCACACTTGAGGGCCTAGAGAGCCACATGTGGCCTCGAGGCCATAGGTTCCGCACCCATGCCATAGACTTTCATCCTTAGAAAACAACCTCTACCTTCTCTAAGTCATCTAGTCACTCCCCCTTCCCCCAGTTGCAGATGGGACACAATTATTCCCTTACAAAACACACACACACACACACACACACACACACACACACACACGCACACTTTCCTCCCTTCCAATCACCCCTTCACTACATATACCCCCATCATCATCCAATTATAAATACATCCAAATCACCCTAGTAAGCCCGATTATAAACAATCTCATATGATAAATATCCCTTCTAATCATTCTCAATTATATGTACCCATAATCACACACATATCCCCCTCCCACAAGCTGGTTAAAACAGGAAGAAAAAACTGATCTTTACAAAAATATTTATAACAGTATTATTTTGAATAGCAAAAAGATGATAAACTATATGCTCAACAACTCAGGAATGGCTGGATAAATTGAGATATGTTGATGTAATGGGATATTATTGTTCTTAAGGTAATAATAAATGGTAGCCTATCACTGAGAAACCTTGTGATCAGGAAAAGCTGGGTTGGAGTCCTGCATTTAACATGTACTGGATATTGACCCTAATCACTAGTAAAACAAATAATGAAATAACAGCATTATATATTGCTTTAAAGTTTGCAAAGCGCTTCACATAAATATGTTAACTCATTTGATCTTCACAACAACCTTGTGAGGTAGATGCTATTAATACCCTCATTTTACAGATGAGGAAACAGAGGCTGAGAGGTCATGTGATTTGCCCAGGGTCACATAACTGGTAAGTGTCTGAGGCTGGCTTTGAACCCAGGTATTCCTGACTCCAAGTCTCACATTCTAAGTAAGCACTATACCACCTACCTGCCCCAGGCAACTGTCTAATTCTCTAAATTAAATTAAGCAGATGCTTACCTGCCTTGGTAGTGAGAGTGAGAGTTTCCTCACTGAGTGTCCTCTATACCAAAGAAAATATGAGGACAGGTCCCAAAAAAGAGGGACCGATTGGGAGGCTGGGAAAGGCACATAACATATGAAAAATTAGACGTATGGGAAGACTGAAATGAAGTGATACCAAGGGAAGCGAGCAAAGCTGAGGGGAAAAAAAACCATTTACACGTGACTACAACTATGTAAAAGAAGACAATATTGAAATGGCAACAAAAGTCCGGCTGAATACAATGGGTGACATTGTTGCTGCCCAGGCTCATAAAATTTAAAGCAAGCAGCGTTCAGTTTTTTAAAACAAACTGCAAATGACAAAAGCGGACAGTTCACTACTATCAGTGGTAAACACCCCTTTGTGTTGTTTTGCTTTTCAGGGAGCTCACTTTGTGGTTTCTTGGTGTGTCTGTTTATGTGTGTCAGCTGTGTTAAGACAGAATTGATCGATTTAAGAAAGAAAATCTATTTCCTCGAGTGCCTGCCCCCAACACACCCACACTTCCAGCCTTCTCTTCCCTCCAGCTGAACCGGACAGGTCAGCTCCCCAGCACTCCCACGCTTCATGTGTCTATGCTTGTCTGCCCCAACCTCTGCCTCGGTCCTCCTTCCCCCTTTTCTCCAGATGACTTCCTTGCCTTTGAAAGCCAGCTCAGCACCAACTCCTCCCAGAAGTCTTCTCCAGCTTCAGCCCCCACCCCCAACTTGGTGATAACCTTTCATGGTACCCTTCAATATAACACTTCAATGTATTTGTCATATAATGTTGTATACTCGAGGTATCTGTGTTTGTATCTTATTCTCCTGCTCAGTGGTAAACTCCATGAAGGTAGGAATCACGTCTCTAGACTTTGCATCTTCCCCAGCCCTGGGTGTTAGGTTCTACAAAATGTTACTTAATAAACGTTTCTTGAATGGATGAACGAATGAATGAATGTCCCTGCCCAACTCTAATCATGACATTCATGGCAAATCCCCAAACTCCCTCCAGAATCATTTATAACTCACAATTATGTTAGCCCACTGGATTTGGGAATATGGCAGAGTCATATTGGGTCCTCAGCCAAGGCTTATGTTTGGCAGTATCAGATCATCCCCCTGTCCCTGAGAAGGTGGGGGGGGTGGAGCAGGTGTGAGAGAGAGAGAGATGTCTGTAGTGTGGCCTGATACTGAGACCATCTGTGTATCCTTGCTAAATTGCTGTGGATATAAGGTAAATAACTAGACCTCATTGTGAAGGGTTGATTGACAGTGGGTGATAGATGCCTGCCTGACTCCTCCAGAAGAAACCAAATGGCTGAGGTTTCCAGTGAACAATGACCCCTGAGTGTGGGGGGCAGGGAGGAAGGGAATAGCTCTCCAATATCATAGAAACATGAAATATTAGAGTTGGAAGGCACTTTAGATAAGAGAATCTTAGCACTAGAAGGAATTTTAGGAGATGCAGAATGTTTGAACAAAAATCAGAATATTCAAACTGGAAGAAGTCTTAGAGGTGGAAGGGACCTTAGAGATTATCAAGTCCAATTCCTTCATTTTACAGAAGAGGAAACTGAGGCCCAGACAAGTTAATAACTCATCCATGTTCATAATAAACTCTGGTTAGAACCTAGGTCTTCTGACTCCTAACTCCATTGTTCATCCGACTACCCCACCTCACCCATCTCCACCCAGTACCCTGGTCCCACCACACCCACCCTCGCACCCAGCTGCACACTCACCAAGGCTGAAGAGGATAAGGAACTTCAAGCAGACAAATTCCTGCCTGTCGACTTGCAGAGAGTGCAGCTGTCGTACAAGCTCCTGGGCCCGAAGCACTAGGCTATGAAGAAGAGATCCCGCCTGGGCTGCCACAGTCGATAAGTCTACCTGGAGTGAAAGGAAGCAGGCTCAGAATCAGAAGGAAACCACCTGGGGTCTCTTAGTCAAATCAGGGGGAGGGACTGCATGATGTGATGTAATAGAAAGCACTCTGCATTTGGAGCCTGAGACCAGCCATGAGAATGTTGGTCATGTCAGTTTTTCCTTTGGGTCTCATCTACAAAATGAAGACATCCAGGCTAGACTCTTTCTAGCAGCTCCTCTGGCTCTAAATCTGTGATCTGAACAGGTATATTTACAACAGACACCACCACCCCTCTTCAAGAGGGCCTAATTCTCTTTTCCTTGCAATTACTTGAAAATTACAGTCTCAGCCCCTCCTCCACACCCACATCCACCCATGAACAAACACACAACCCCCTCTAGAAATCACGGTCCCTGGATACGGCACAGACATAGCTTGAGCAGGTCTGGGCTGGGAGGGCAAGGAGAGAGAATTTGTAGGTCAGGTTATCCATTGACTGATTTCTTTTGAAATCACTCAGAAGTTTTCTAGGTACTGGGTCTGGGACAGAGGAGTGAGAGGCAGCAGCAGTGCAAAATAGATAGAAACGACCTCGGAGTCAGAGAGATCTGGGTTTGGGTTCCACCTCTAACACATGCTAGCTGTGTGACTCTGGGCACCAGTGAGTCATCGCTTCTTGGGACCTCTGCAGAGCAGCTGCTTTTCTGAATTGGTAAAGGGCATTTCCTTATCCAGAACTCCCTTCACCAATGGAATCAGAGATCCAGTCTCCCTCTCAAAAAAAAAAATCTGGAGGGGACACTAGAACATCAAATGACCTGAAAAAGACCTTAAAATATAGTATTTGAGCTGAAACATAGAATGTCATGGCTCAAAGGGACCTAAGAACATGTTAGAGATGTAAGGGCCCTTAGAATATAGAATGTTTGACGCAAATAAAACAAAACAGCTTGTCCTGGAAGAAGAGATGAGAAAATGCAACTGCCCTTTCTTTGCAGAGCTAAGTTGACTCTGGGTATGGATTGTCAGACTGTATATGTAGACTAATTTGGCTCAACTGCTTTTTTCCCTCTGCTTCTCCTTTTTTCTTTGTCACAAAGAAAGGCTCACAGAGTAGAGAGAGGAATAGATATTCAGAAATGAAAATGATATGAGAAAAAAGATCTCAATAAAAGTCTATTTTTGAAAGAATGCAGAATGTTTGAGCTAGAAGGGACCTTAGAAAGAACAGACTTAGGTGGTCATTAGAATATAAAATATTAGGGAAGAGCTCTCAGAACACAAAATGTTAGAACTAAACATAGAATGTTAACGTGAGAGAGTACCTTAGGGACCATTTAGCTCCACATCCTCAAATTATAGATATGCAAACTGAGCTGCTGAGGTGGGGAATTGACTTACCAAAGGTCACACACTGAGTTAATGGCAGACCTAGGAGTGTTTCTAGGTCCTCTGACTCAGTACGGTGCTGTTTCCACCATAAGAGGTTATTTCACTCTATCCAGTTCTACAGGGGACCAGGACAGGTCCCTTCTCCATCCATCCCCTTTCTCCCAGTAGGGAACCCGGTCATTCTGAGGTTCTGAACTCCTTGTCCCTAGGGTCCAGGGTAATGCCTCCATTCTCTGGAAACATGTTGGGGTGGGATGAGGAGACAAAGAAGTGGAGATACCTTGGCATCTTCTCTCTCTCAATTCCATCTTTTCTTTCTTCAGCTAATGTCTCTTCCCTAGGATGCTCCACAAAATCTGAGGTCACCATCCCAGAACATCCTAAATTGTCCAAGCTACTTCTATCACATCATATTACAAAGGAGACTGAAGGCCTAGAGGTGTGAAATGACTCACTGTAGGTCACATATCAAGTCAGTGATGGAGCTGGTACTAGAACCTTGGTCTCCAGGATAGACAATCTTTCCGAGCCCAGATGACTATGGGAAGGAAGGGGAGGAGAAACAGGGAGAAATCCTACCAACGGTACATAATCCAGAACTGTCTAAATTTAATCTTCCCAGGGTGAAGATAGGAACTAGGCAAAATTTTAAAGCTGGATGGGGGTCATCTAATCCAGTTATTCTCCAAGTGCAGCTTGGCCACCCCTGGGGAGTGCCTGAGACCCTTTCAGGGGGTCTATAAAGTCAAAACTATGCTTATAATAATACTACCAATATTCATTTCTAATGCAATAAATATTAATAGATATCTCCCACATAAACAAAAGCCCTGGGGGGTGAGGTCCTCATAATTTTTAAGAGTGCAAAAGAGTTCTAAGACCACAAAGTTTGAGAACCACAGATCTAATCCAGCCCTTTCATTCTGGAGATGAGGAAACTGAGGCCTAGAGCAAGACAGTGAGTGGCCTTGCGACAGCTCTGCGGTACTGAGGTCTTCCCTCCCCTGATCCCTTCTTCGGCCGCCCCTCGGCTTCCCCGCAGCCCAGGCCTCGGAGGCAGGCAGGAGCCAAAGCATCGGTGGCTGCACCCAGAGCTGACACTGCCAGTGTCTGAAGGGTCCTCCAGGCACAAAGAGCCCGGAGCCGTCGTTTGCTGCTGTTTGTGAATCATTGTGCCTGGTGAATGGGAGCTGGGCTCAGACTCAGCTCCCTGAGCAGGGTCAGGCGGGCCAATGGGGCTGGAGCAGGCCTGCAGCTCTCTGCTCCTTCCACCACACGGCTCCAAGAAGGCTGGCGAGGGCGAGCAAGCACACACACACACACACACACACACTCTCACAGACACACACATACACACACTCACACACACACTTACACACACATACACACACTCTCTCACACACACACACACACACACACACACACACACCCCACTGCAATGTATATACTCTCCCCCACACAGGCAGGATGTCGCATGAATGCACATACACACATTCACAACCTTAAGCTCACAGATATATATATACTTGTATCCACATACATACTACCACACAGCCACAAGTACACTCATGGCCACAGACACATATACAAACTCACAATATGCCAAATACTCTCAAATACACAGAAGGTTCTCACAAACACACTGGAAAGCACATTGGATTTGTAGTCAAGCCTGGGACCCTGGGTTCAAATTTCAGCTCATCAACTTATTTCCCTCTGTATGACCTTGGATAAATCACTTACCTCTCTGGGCCTCAGTTTCTTCATCTGTAAAATGAAAGGGTTGTACTAGATGACCTCAAAAATCCATTATTCCAGCTCTAAATATATAATTTGTTGCTGTTCAGTTGTGTCTGGCTCTTTGTGACCCCTTGGGTCATAGCACGCCAATACCATCTATGGGATTTTCTTGTTAAAGATACTAGAGTGGTTTTTATTTCCTTTTCCAGTGGATTAAAGCAAACAGAGGTTAAGTGACTTGCCCAGGGTCACACATCTATTAAGTGTCTAAGGTTGGATTTGAACTCAGGTCTTCCTGACTCCAGGTCCAGCACTCTATCCACTGAATCATCTAGCTGCCCTATGATACAATAATTCACACACACACACACACACACACACACACACACACACACAATGCATATTTATTTTCTTTTTTCCAAGTCAGACCCCCAAATTGGGAGATAAATGATGTTGGCAAGGATTAAGACTTCATCTCTGAGACTGCCATGTGTAAGGTTAGAAAGGAGGAGGCGGTGGGGGCTTGGTAAAAGAAGACTAGACTCCCTTTGAGCATAAGCTCTCTCACTGGATATGTTGCAATGGAGATTCCATGGCAATTTCTGAGCCGTGGCATTGAAGGGATTCATTTGTGGAATAGACATTGGACTAGATGTCCTCAAAGATCCCTTCCAGCTCTTAGACTCCATATTGTAATAGTCTGTGTTGCAGGATCTGTGGTGATATCGCCACTTGGCAGTTAGCACTTTTGTGTCCTTCTATTCAGTGTTATGGAAAGATTCCTAGGCTTGAAATCAATAGACTTGGGTTCCTTTCCTCACTTCATGATAGAGCTTGAGCAAGTCACTTTCTCTAGCCTTAGTTTTCTCATCTGTAAAATGAGGCTAGTAATTCCTAAACAACCCACATAAACCCATAATGCTTTGGAAAAACAAAGCACTATAGAAATCTATTAGTATTATTATTAATCATCATACTAAACTTCTCTTGAGAAATCCAGCCTCTGTTTCTTGGAGCTAAGGGGGAAAGGAGGGAATATACAAAGGTAGAGACATATAGAAGGGGCTGTACCCCAAATATCTGGAACAGGGGAATAGCCAAAACAATAAAAAAAAACCCAATGGAGTAGAACAGAGAACTGAAAGAAAATTCTATTCCTGCCTGGAACCTTCTCTTTTAGAACTTCACACCCAGCATATACATCCTAGAGCAGGGATTTAGTCAAAGGGCAGGACTTGAGGACCTAGAGGGGCCACACGTGACCTCAAGGCCGTAGGTTCCTCACCCTTGTCCTAGAGAATGGCAGGCCCCAAAGTATTGCCAAGAACAGGGGTGAGGATGAGGAAGGTGATTATAGGAGGTGGTGAGAAAGAAGAAAAAGTGGTACCTCCTGGCCAGTGACCAGCAGAATGCTCCCCTCCTTCCCATGTTGGATCTGTCTGTAGATGTGATCAAAGACAAGCAGCTCACTCCAGCAATTCTGCAGAAGTTTCATCTGGTCAGCCACCTGTCACAGAGACACAGAGACGACCAATTAGCTGAGCAGACCGCAAGCTGTGAACCCCAGCTCTGTATCCAGAGAAGTGCAAGAGAGGCCTTCAGGGGAGGTATGACTTGTGGTGGCAGCTGTAATGTAGTAGACGGAAGACCAGAGCAGGGGGGTCAAAAGACCTGGGTTTGAGGCCCCCTCTCAGACTCCAGGCTTGTAGCCCCTCAGGCCCACATTCAAAGCCTCCTAGACCCAGTGACTCCTCCTCATCCCCAGCCTTTATAACACAGAACATTTGTTAGAGCTGGAATGGATGTCATAGCGTGAAATGTTAGGGTTAGGACAGCTTTGAGAACATAGACCATTAATTTGGAAGATCTCAGAACAGTAGAAAATCAGAACATAGAATATTAGAGATAAAAGGGACCTCAGAACAAAGGACCTTGTGCTATGAGATATTAGTGTTGGGAGATGGTCTGGTTCGAATCCCTCTTATTACAGATGAAGAAACAAAGGCTCAGACAGAGGAAGGAACCAGTCCAAGGTCACATAGTGAATTAACCCAGGCTTTCTGATTCCCAATGAGAATGTACTGTTCACAAATGGCCATCTCACAGTGGCTAAGGCCCTTACATCTAACAGGACTAGCTGTCAGACCGCCTACCTGCCTGTCATGGTGGAGAAGCTGAACCTAGACAGAGTTTAGTGCTAAGTAGAGGGAACAGCGTGTGCTCCCTCACTCTCTCAGCCTCCTCTTCCTTCCCCATCTCGCCTCTCCCTTCTCTTCCACTGCCCAACTCTAACAATTGAACAAGACGCCATACAGAACATGAAGCAGGGGCCTATTGGCCAGCAGAAGGTTCATGGTTAAGACCCCATAATGCTATGGGGTCTGACCTGGGAAACTTGGAGCCAGAGCCCTAGAGATAGAGAGGGAGCCTCCACCCCCAGGGCTATTAGTGCTGGAGCAGAATGAGATGGGAGATAAAAAAGATCTTCTCAAGCCAGGATAGGGGAAAGGGGTCACTGTGACCCAGGCATGTGGAAGCCCCAGAACAGCTACCATACACAAACTCCTGCCCCAGAGATCAGTGCTGGCAAAAGCCAGCTCAGACCTTACTCCTCCTAACCTTAGTTCTGCCCCACCCCATCCCTCCTTAGCTTAGGACAAAGAGTCTGGGGATGGGAAACAGGAGACCTGGCTTCTATTCCCAGCTCTGCCATGAATCCTATCAATCGTTTCCTCTCTCTGGACCTCAATTTCCTTATAAAATGAAGATAATAATCCTTGTCTCCCACACAAGGTGGCTCTGAGGATAGAATGAGACTATAGTTGGGAGAGGGACTACTATATAAATAATAATAGAAGCTTTCTCCATAAAGACCCTATGATGGAAGCGGTGGAAGGATGATTAGCCCCATTATAAAGATGAGGAAACTGAGGTCCAGAAAGAGTCAGTAACTTCCCCAAGGTCACACAGCTGGGCTTGAACCCAGGTATCCTGTCTCTCACAGGGTAGCCCTATCCCTGTCCATTATAATGACGTTTGGAGTGACTGACCTATTCCTATAAATTCCTTGGACAACAAGGGAAACTTATTTCAGGCTCACTTTCCTGCTTCAATTTTGACTCATTTCTATGCTTAATTAAGAGATGGACAAATGGAGCCTTCAGTCAATCAACACAGCATGAAATGGAAAAGATCACTAGCCTGCGAGTCTAAAGAGATGAGGTCTAGTCAGGGATGTGCTGGGAAATGTTTAACAAACGTTATAGTTTAATCTACCATGTTCTTTGCATTTTCTCCGCCACTTTCTTAAGTCAAGACACTCAACAAAACTAGAAGTCAAGCCCTGATTCATCAACATTTGCTGACTTCTGAGGTGTAAATGCTCACACTGAAAATTTAACAATCAGCTCAGCGTGACTGAAATGGCTCCACTGCATCTCTGCCTCTGGTCCTATCTCCATCATTCATTTACAGAGACCTTGAGTGAGTCATTTCCCTTCCTTGGGGCTCAGTTTCCTCATCCTATAAATATGGAGGGAGGTGGACCAGATGATCTCAAAGGCTCTTGCCCACCCTACACTTTCACATTCTATGTTCTGAGGTCCCTTCCAGCTCTGACGTTCTACGTTCTAGGGTCCCTGTCTGCTCAAGCATTATATGATTCTATGAGTCTGTTAGAAGGCAGGTGGCTGGGACCCTCATTTAACCAAAGACAATTGGTTTAACCTTCATGAGGCTCAAGTTAAAGGTTATTCTCTAGTCCCCGTGTACATGCCCTACCTCCCTTCCGAAATATATATAAAAATGGAAATTTATAGCCCCTAGGACAAAGTTGGCCACCACTCCCCTGGGCCAGCCCCACTCCCTACAGCCTACAAGTCCTCCTCTCTGGACCAGGGGAGGCTGCAAATCTTCCCCCGCACCTTGACACATCTCATCCCGTCTCGTTCCACAAGGGTATTTATGGATGTCATGCTGACCTCGCTCCCGTCGCCCCCACCCCTGGCCTGCCGAGGCCCTCTCACAGCAGACCAGCCCCCGGAGCCCCCTGCACCCTCCATGCTCTGATTAGTATCCTTGCCGAAGGCCAGCTCGGGTCTGTAATTCTCGGGTGGTTGACATGCTCCTGGCTGGCCCTACAGAGTGGCAGGCAGGGGGCTCATTTGTCAGAGACAGACTGACAGAATTACTGCCCCTTAAATGAAACCATATATCTGGGGAGTTAAATCTGTTGCCAATCGTGGCTCTGGGGGGCTTCAAAGGCCAGACGTGGAGTGTGAACTAATGTCAAAAGAGACTATTAGCCATAACCCTCCCCCCCATGGCCCTCCCTTGCTCTATTTCCAACCCCCTCCCCTTCTTCTCCAGCCTTCAAGATAGCACAGAGTTTGCCCAGGGTCTGAGCAGAAAGGAGATTGGCTGGGACTCTCTTGAGCATTAGGCACAACAGCACTGGGCAGGCCATTTGAACATAAGAAGTTAGCGTGAATTTGCTCCCAAAAACCTTAGCGGAATAAGCATTCACCTGTCACTCAGGAGAGGTAGCTCTAAGATTTTATGTTCTACGTCCCAAGGGTCCTTCTGTCTCTGGCTCTAATATGCTCTGTCCTATGTCTTTTCTTTAAGACTCCTTCTAACATTCATTCGATGGTCTGACATCCCATCTTCGAAAGTCCTGTCAGCAATTACAGCCTATGAGTTAAACTCCTCTCTCTTCCTGGAGGCTGCCTGTGTAACAGATGTGTTCAGGGGAGTAGATTATGTACAACCCTCCTGAAAGAGAGTGAAGGGTGGGGTCTGGGATGCTCTGCCATGTAAAGGAATGGGGCAGAACCTTCCAGTTGTCCTCACCTTCATCCAAGCCTCTGATTTCATAGGCTGCTTACCCCCATAAAGTTCCCGGTGGGCCGGTAGGAAAGAATGTGCATGTAGGCCAGGATAGGGAGAGCATTTTGTAGGCCAGGATGGTACTTAACTGCATAGCTGTTTTAAGAATATTGCATGACACTATGCATGGTGTCCAATGGGGCAGGACACTGTGAATGTTTCAATATCGTAGGATATTACGAATGGTGTTTCTTGGGCTCAGTGCTGACCCTGGCAAAGGAGACAGGAAGCAGGAAGGCCCAGCCAACAGAAGAGGAAAAAACACTCACCAAAGTGGTCAGAAAGCCTTGCTTCTCCTGGATGGAAACACTCATGGGAATGGCACCTTATTACCCACCCCCGGCACTGAAATCCAGAGCTATGTAAACCCAGGGTCTGCCTACTACCTCTGCCCTCTAGATGCCTCCAGCTGAGGCCTGGACATGTGAAAGAAGCCAGGGTCCTTCACAGAAGAAATGATTTGCATTCCCAGGTGTCCTGGGACTTTCTTTCCCCCACCTATAATATTTCTGGACTTAGTTGACCCCACCTCACAGCTTCCACAAACTCCATGCCAGTCTCCCTTCAGATAGGAAGTATGGCTTATGTTAATAAACACAGTTCATGCCTAGGCCTCCAGGGCTGTATCAGCCAACTTCCATTCCAGCAGCCACAGAGAGACCAGGACAAAGAATACCCTCAGACCGGTACCTCCTTTACCCCCCGACCTTCTTACTCCCATGATAGCCCATGGCTCTGGAGATGATAGCCCACACCCCAGGTATCTAAGACAGAAAATGATGCACCTGCCATGGTCCTCACCCCCGCCCAAGAACAGATGTCATCCCATAGTCCAGCCCAGTTCAGTCTTGAGAACAGATAGGGCCTTCAGTCTGGCTCTTTTTCCCAGGACAGACATCAGGCCGTACCCTGCATGCCCAGAGGAAGCTGTGGCTGTGCAGCCATCAGCACAGACAAGAGCCAGTTGAGACTGCTCCAGCCCCAGAGCCCAGTTTGGCCCCACTGTTTACAATCCAGGTCAGGAACAACAACATCCTGGCTGGCATGGGAAGCAAACACTGATAGGACGGAGACAAACAGTCACTGCCCACGGAGGCACCCCCCCTTCCCCCGTCTGCCTGAAATCAGCAGAGTCTGAATCTCAGAAAGCTAGGAGGGTGCAGAGGTCTATCTTATTTTCCGCCTCAGTGATAGGATATTGCACCTTAGAAGGTTAGGACAAACGTGTAGAAAGAGAAAATGCAGCACGTCAAAACAGATGAAGTGTAAGACCCCAGAGGTACCCTCTTGAAGTTATTCATCCTGTCCTTCTCCCTGGTCTCTAAGTTGGAGGCATGGGCATTCCCAGCAGCTCCCTAAGAACCACCGTTCCATCTTATTGGAAGTTTCCATCTTACTGGGAAGTTCTTTATTGTGTCTGTACTGGTCCTGTTGCTTTTCTTCTTATCTCAGCCTGAGGGGCAGGGAATGGAAGAGAATTAGCCCAGGCGTTGGAAGAGCAGTACCACGTAGAGGCCAGGCTGCCTTTGCCAGAAACATTATCAGTACGAAGATCCCAACTGCCCTATTCCCCTCATTCCCATTCCTTTAACACATCGAAGACTCATTTCTGTAGGAATTCTTGGGATCATAGATACAGAGCAGGCAGGGACAATAAATGCCATCTAATCTCAACCTTCATTTTATAGATGAGAATGCCGTGGTGCAGAGTGACTTACCTAACCTGTTGTTCCCACATTGTCAAAGGTAGGATTTGAACCCAGGTTCTCTGACTCCAGCACCAATGATTTTTTCCACTATAGCACAGTGATTCCTTCTACCAATGCACCAACCTTTCTAGGACTAGGTAGTTTTCCCCTGAGGATTGCTGAGGTCAGAAAATTCATCCACCTGCAGTCAACCCAGCAATGAGTTGTCTGTCCCATACTTCATGAGACTGGTCCTGGGGCACAGATGCACAGTCCATCAACAAGCCTGTCCCAGGCCTATTTAGGTTGGTAGGATTAGTCAGAGCTCAGCTTAGCACAGCCTTCAAGACCCCAGGGTCAGAGAAACCTGGGAAGATTTGTATGAACGGTATGCAGAGTGAAGGGAGCAGAACCAGTGGAACAATGTGTACATACATATATAATATATAATAATAACACATTATATGTACATGTGTAAAGATGTATGTATACCTTCACAAATCAATACATATCTGCACATATGTGTACATACATACAATAAACATGTATGTGTATGTATATGTTAGACACAGCCAACATAGGAATGTAGCCCATGTATGTGCACATTCACACACACATATGTGTATATTTTAGATATGGTCAATGTAGGACTTTTTGCTTGGCTAGGCATATTTGTTACAAGATTGTTTTTTCTTTTTCAATTGGTGTGAAGAGGTAGGAAAGAGAAAATAGATTTTTGCATAGAAAAAATAAATTTAATTTTTATAAATTAGGCCACTCTCACATAACAATGAGGAATCAGAGGCAAAGATTAGTAAAAAAGCCCTCACTAATTCCCTCCAGATCCTTGCCATGATACACACCCCATGATTTCCCTCCTACATGAGTCTCTCCCAAAGATCAGTATATGTGGAGAGAGTTCAACCTGGAGACCCAAATTTCAGCCATTCTCAATGGTCCATAGGTAAATTTCCCACTTTGTACCGTATAGGCAGCCAAGATTTGAAAGCCATATCCTTTCCTGTGTTGTTCTCCAGCTGTGGGCAGAGCCAGCCAGGCAGGAGAATACACGACAAAAATACAGCCCCTTCCATAAGCACAGAGGTTGAAAAGGATCCAGGATCCCATTCTGGCCTTCAGAGTGTTCAGAGAAGCTATGGAAAGGGGAACCCTCTGAATTGGTTCTACCTCTTCCATCAGAGAATCTCAGATGGCAGAGATGCAGGAGACCATACAACTGGGTAGCATCTTAGAAGTCATCTCCTCCAATCCCCTCATTTTACAGATGAGGAAACTGAGGCCCAAAGCATGACATAATGAATAAATGGCAGAGCCAGACTGCAGTCTATGTCTCCTTACTCCCAATCCATTACTCTTATCACCACAATGTGTCACAAAGATAAGGAGAAAGCAGGAGAGATAGACAGAATAGTCATCGGTCTAAAGGACATCTGAGGCTTTTTATCATGCAATTCTATGACTCAGATAAATCAAAGAGGGAAGGGGAAATAAAAATAAGGAAGAGAGGGAAGTATGGAGGAGAGAGAGAGAGAGAACTAGAAAGAGTGGTATAGCGGAAAGAGCAGTAGATTTGAAGGCTCAAAATAGTGACTAATTACTGCTAATTACTATCTGTCTGATTGCACAAGTCACTTAATCCCTATGGATCTCAGTTTCCACCTCTGAAAATGAGGATCCTAGCATTAGAACTGGAAGGGACCTAGGTTCCTAGGTCCCTTTTAAACTTAGCTAAAGAGAGAGAGATGAGAGAAGGGAGGAAAAGGGAGTAGGGCAATCAAAGTCTCAGAGGGAGCTAGAGAGAAGAAATCAAAGAGGAAGGCAAGGAAAGAAGAAACAGGAATGGAAACAGAGATAAATGTTGATTCTCTTCTCTGTCATGTCATAGGAGCATAGACCTGGAAGCACCTTAGAGATACTCAAGTTCACATCTGCCATTTTACAGCTGGAGGGTGCTGCCCAGAGGCCCAGAGGAGAGAAGCCACTCACCCTGGGATCACCTAGCTAAAAAGTAGCAGAGTCAGAAAAGCCAGCCCAGGCCCCTGACTCCTAATGCATGCTCTTCCCATGCTGCATCACACTATGATGTGGGGACTTGTCGTTCTCATTAGAACCATCCTACTTCTGACCCAGAGAGATACCAGAAAGGGATTGAGGAGAGAGGAAGAAGGAGAAGGACTGAGAGAGGAAGAGAGAAAGAGAGGGAGGGAGAGAGATGTGGGAGGAAAAGGGGAAGAGAAGGGAGAGAAAGAGGAGAGAAGGGGAGAGAAAATAGAGAAAGAGAGAGAGAATGGAAAAGAGGAAAAGAGAGAGGAAAGAAGAGGAGGTGGGGGAGAGGGGAGGAAAGAAAAGGATAAGGGGACCATTGACCTTGGCCACTCACCTCCAGCTCCTTGAAGACCACACAGCTGCGAGCCCATTCAACAATTGAGAAGAGGGTCTGGTCGGCCATCTTGCACATGAGGCCAAAAGGTGTGGGCCGGTCAGGCCGGCCCTTGGCAGGCTCCTGTAGGCAGGCCAGGATTCGGGCCTTGAGCTGGCCTTCATCAGGCTCTAGCTGCAGCAGTTTGAGGATGAGCTCTGGGACCCCCGGCAGGCCAGGGCCACTGGAGTAGGGCTCTGGGTAGCCATAGGGGGGCGCTGGCTCATGGGGGCTAGCATAGGGCTCTGGATACTCTGACTTGATGGCACGGCCAGGGAAGGTAGGGTAGAGATAGCCAGCCAGTGGGCCATGAGTGGGCACTGCCATAGGTAGACTTGGTGGACCATAGGGGCCCCGCTCATAGTCACCAGGTGGCCCTGCAGGTGGGACAGGTGCCAAGCCCTTGGACCCTGGGTGGAGGGCTGGTGCCAAGGGGTAGTCAGTTTGTGGAGGAGGTCCCATGGGTGGACCCGTCTCAAGCTTGAATCCATTGGCTCGGATCAGGGCCTTCTTCTGCTGTTTTAAGGCACGGTCTCTCTTATACATGGGACCAAACTTGTTTCTCCCACCTCGCATTCGGTCTGCCCGAACAGCTATGGAGAAGGCAAGAGGGATCTTGTCAAGAAGTCCTCCTAGACTGATCAGAGAGAAGCCACCTGGGCCTCCCCTAGCTTCTGTCCTCAATCTCCATCCCCCACCTCCACCTTGGCTCTTAAAGACTAAGAAAGGAAAACATGACACTCCAGATCTGCAACTAACTTACTGCATGACAGGCCATTTCTTCTCTATGGGCCTCGGTTTTCTCATCTACAAAATGAACGCATTGAACTACATGATCTCTAAGGGTCCTTTTGACCCTAGTGTTCTGTGTGTGAAGCTTTGTATTCCAGTTTTAAGATTTTTTGTTCTAACATCCTAGATCCTGACCATGTCATTCCTCTGCTTACAATAACTTCACTGGATCCCAACAGAGCCTCGAGGATAAAATACATGGTCCTTAGTTCCTCATTCAAGGCCCATGACCATCTGGTTCCAACCAGTCTTCCTGCTCTTCTTTCATGTTATTCCCTTTCATGAACTATACATTCCAGCCAAACTGTACCACTAGCTGTTCTTTGAACCTGACACTCCCTCTCTTATCTCCATGCATTCACACCAACTATTCCCCATCCCTGGAAACTCTCTCTTCAAATCTGCTTATCAGAATCTTCATCTCCCTTCAATGCTCAGTTTTGTTCCCATTTCCTCCATTAAGATTCCCCTGGTCTTTGCTCAAACTCCACCCCCACTCCCTAATACAGTGCCTCGTACACAGTAGGCAATTAATGTTTGTTGAATGGAATGGAATTACAGTCCCTTACATCTCTATTATTCTATATTCTGACGTCCCTTTAAGGTCCCACGTTCTCTGGTCTTGTTCTAATGGTCTATGTTCTAGGGCTCCTGCTAACTCTGACATTTATATTCTAAGGTCCTTTCTAGCTCTGACATTCTCTGACTATGATTCAATCAAATGGAGAATGCCTTACCAATCATACTTTCACAGCTATATCATATATTCTCCATTAAAAAATGACCCAAACTCACTCATCAAATGAGTTTCTAAATCTTACTTCGGGTGACTGGCCATCTACCATAGTTGGTATTCTAAGGAATATGGCTCTACCTAAGTTTGGGAACCACTTCGCTTTGTACGTTCTAGATAAATTGTTCCCCTGGGCCTCAAATTGGCCAATCCAACTCTGATCTCCTCTCCTAGAATTGAGCAAATGTGGGTGGGGGATTATAGGGAAATGAGGCTCCTACTCCTCCTCTTTCCCACTCCAGAAAGGGGCTGGGGATGCTAGGTGTCTTTTTTTTTAGGCGGGGGGAGGGAGCAACATGTCCCATTGCCCTGTGGGAGGGAAAGCCTGCCTGTATCAAGCCTAGGGCTCAGTGTTTTGGGTTCCCCTGGATACTAGAGGGTTTTTTTCCCCATCTATACCTTGTATCTCCCTGAGCATAGTACTCAGCACACAGTAGGTGCTTAATAAATGCATATTACTGTTACATGTCTCTCCTTGTTAGAAGGTTGTCAGAGCCCTGATGACAGGGAAATGGTCTTACTCATCTTTGTATCCTCTACAATGAAGAACACAGGACTGGCACATAGTAGGTGCTCAGTAAGCGTTTGTTTGAATGAATGCATAAATGGATCTCTGTTTTAGTCAAACCTGAGTGAGGCAGCCTCACTGTCCAGCCCTTCCGGAAGCTCCTTCCCCCCCCGGGAAGGCCTCTCCAGTCCCCAGCCAGATGTTCCTCCCACAGCCCAAGAATGTGTCACTTGGCTGGGAACAGGTGCTTCTCTGCAGCACAGCATTCCCTCCTCCCTCCCTCCTTCTCTACTCTGTGCCCCTCCCCCACCATCTCCCAGCACAGACTGAGAGCCTCATGGGGAACAGGGAGAGCCCTCCCTTGGCCCAAGAAGAGTAGGGAGAGGGAGGGAAGGAGAGAAGGAGCAAGATGAGGAGAGGCCTCAATCAGTCACTGTTCTAGGTCAAAGCTAGTGCTGGTCTCTTCTTCCTTTTTCTAGAATCTCCCCTGTTATCCCCCTCCTCTGTTTCTGAGACTCACAGAGACAGCATTGCCCAGCCCCCTACCCCGCCCCCCCCACCCCCGACTCCCCAGCCTGTGTTGAGGAATATATGTAATTATGCTGCATTGTGGTGCCATGAAACCAAGGAACATTGTGGTGCCATGGAACATCTTAGCTAGGAAGTCAGCAGGCATGGGACCTTGTCCTGCATGGGCTGTTAAATCACTTTGTGATATTGAAAGCTTGTATCACCTTTCTAAGATAAAAAGATCTTAGATCTTAGCAGCTAGAAGGGATCTCAGAGGTCATCAAACCCAAAGCCCTTAATTTTACAGATGAGGAAACTAGGTTCTAGGGAAATGAAATAATTTGGCCAAGGTCACACAAATAATGTCAGGTGAGATTTGAATCTTTGTCCTTCTTACTGCAATGTTAATGCTCTTTCTACTGTACCTCACTGCCTCCAACTAGGTGACTTCTGTTTGTTTATTTGTTTGTTTGGGTTTTTTTCAGTGAGGCAATTGGGGTTAAGTGAGTTGCCCAGAGTCACACAGCTAGAAATTTATTATGTGTCTGAGGACGAATCTGAACTCAGGTCCTCCTGACTCCAGGACCAGTGCTCTAGGCACCTGGCCACCTAGCTGCCCCAAACTAGGTGACTTCGAAGGTCTCTTCCAACTTTAAAGTTCTTTGTTCTGACAGTTAATGTTCTTAGGTCTTCTCTAGCCTTAACAACCCATGTTCTATATTTTAAGGGTTTTTTGGTGCTAACATCCCATATTCTATTGTTCTTTGAGTTGTGAATTATGAACTTCCTGTCTTCTCCCCCCACCCATGGAGAAAAGGGAATTTGGAGCGGCTTGAAAATGGATTCGTGCCATTTCTTATATCCCCTGTGTAAAGAGGAGTGCAGTAAAAACCAGCAGAGTCAGCATTGCAGGTTGGCAATTGAAGAAACCTCTCAGGATCATCTCCAGTGCTCAGCTCAGATGCCACCTCCATGGAATGTTTCCTGACCTTTTCCCTTCCCTCTCTTCCCTTATCATACCAAAAGTGATCTTTCTTTCCTCTGAGCAGGCCTCATAGTATTTTGTTTGTGCCTTTCTTCATCATCTTATCAAGTTCTTTTCTGTACTTTTGTTATTTGCATATTCTCATCTCCCCTTCTACAAACTTCCTGTGGAAAGAGGATTTATTCATGTATTTATTTATTCATCTTTGCACCACTTCCCCCAATGATGAGTCATTGTAGGTGCTTAGTAAAGTTGTGTTTGGATAGACAAGTCGATGGATTTCTAATTTAGTCAAACCGTTTGGTTCTCAAAGTGAGACCTTCCAACTCCATATCACATGGGTTTCTTTGAGCCAGTGATATGACTACATATCTCTAATGTCAACGTGTGGGAGAAGAGTCTGATCATATCAGAAAGTTTGCACAGCCCAGCCCTGTTCCAATACAATCGATTTGGATCCCAGAGGGCATCCTGTGCTTTTTTACTGTTTCATACTCAGAGACAGTGTGCCATAGGGAGAGTAGTAGTAGATTTGAATTCCATAGACTTGTGTTCTACTCTCAGCTCTGACACTTCGCTAGCTGTGTGAACAACAAACAAATCATTTCCCCTTTCTGAGCTTCAGTTTCCTCATCAGTAAAATGGGTATAATAATATTTGTACTCCCTGACTCATGCTGAAGAAATAGCTTTGAAAAGCTTAAAATGATACATAAATCTGAGTTGTCCAGTCCACCGGTGTCTTTCTCCCAGACTCAGGTAAAAGTCCTCAATAGCTAAGATATCAGTGTCCCTTGATCCATAGAGAATCAACGAAAAGGACTTTAGAATACAAAACACAAGAGTTGGACAGAAGGGATTTTCGACGTGGAATCAGGAAACGATTCCATCCAAACCAATCTCTCTCATTTTTCATAGGAGGAAATGTCAGATTCTTTATCCAAGGAAGGTCATATTGAGTCAACAGAAGTAGAGCCCAGACTTAACGGCTCATTTTCCCTGACTCTTATCACTACACTAGCTGTCTTGGTAAGTTAATAAAACCCAGTTTTAGAAAATTCACCTATGATCTCCAGAGGTCAAGGTTAGTACTGATCACTACCCCTAGAATAATATAGACTCCAGTCAGAAGCTCTTTTTGTATCACTGAGGTCTCCTTCCTCCAGGCTCCCCATCACCTACCTGCCCTTCCCACTCATTGAACTGGTCAAGTTGGGCCCCCTCCTCCCAGCTCTCTTCACCAGCTTTCTTAGCCCTTTTCTCTCTTTACAATAAACTCAATTCTTCCTCCCCTTCTACACCCTGCAGAGTGGAACTGGAGAAGGAGTAAGCAGGGAGAGAGAAGAATCTATGGACACGGACATGGAGCTAGGGCTGGGTTTGGGACCGGAATCACACCCACCTTCCAGCCGCATCCCCACAGTCAGGCACTTCTGGAAGCGGCAGTAGGGGCATCGTTTACGCTGTGTCTTGTCAATCTTGCAGTTCTGGCTCTCGGTGCACGTGTAGTGTTTGTTATTCTGTACGGTGCGCTTAAAGAACCCCTGTGTCCCGGGGAGATATGGAGGGAGTTAGCACCCGAGTCCGGGAGGGGAAGCCAGATGAGGGAGGAGGGGGGGGGAAAGCACCTGCGTAGGGGAGAAGCAGCTGGGAGAGGATGATGGAAGAAGCTGTGGGAGGAGGAGAGAATAAGAGGGGAAGAAGAGAGAGAGATTACAGGAGGAGGCCTGAGGAAAGGATTCTGAGAGATGAAAAAGGACAAGGAGGATGAGGGAGAAGACTGAGAAAAGTGGGATAGGAAATGAAAAAAGGGAAAGAATTCAAGGAGCAGAAATGTAGGAGAGCGCTGGAGGACTGGGAAACTGACAAGGGAAGAGAAGAAAGGACTGAGGAAAGGTGAAAGGATAAAAGAAGGCGGGAAAGGATGTGGGGAAAGAGGAGAGGACCCACGAATAAAAGGAAAGGACCACGGGAAGAGGAAAAGATGCAGAGAGTGAGAAGAGGATATATGGAGAAGAGAGGACAAGGGGAGGGGTTTAGGGAGTGGGGGAAGCACAGGGGAATCCAAGAGGTGTAAATAGAGGGGAGAGATCAAGAGGTGAGGGAAGAATGCCTAGGGACAGGGGAGGAGACTTCGGGATAGGAGAGAAGACCTTGGAAGAGTGTGGAAAGGTGGGGGAGAAGGCACGGCAAAAGGGAAGGGGAGCTGGAGAGAGGATTGGGGAAAGGATATGGATAAAGGACAAAGGAAGTACTTTGAGAAAACAGAGAGAAGGAAAAGAAGTCGAGAACGAGGATATGGAGAGAGGAAAGAATATACAGGGAAAGAGGAGAGGATATGGGGTCGGGGGGGGGAGGAATGGGGAAGAAGATACAAGGAAAGAGAATGAGGAACAGGACTTCCATAGTTAGGCCGAGATTGGAAGACGTCAGCAGGAAAGCGAGGAAGCTCAGAGTGTCCTGGGAACTGCTTTAGCTCTGGGTAAAGAGACACTCGGAGCAGGGAGCTGCGAAGGGGGTTAACGCACTAGTGAGGACCAAAGAGGCGCTGTGCGAAAGAGAAGCTAGTGTTCTTTGCGCAGGGAGAGGAGCTTGTTCCAGGCTAGTTCCTCGGCGGGCAATCGGTACCGGAACGCAGCGAAAAGGCTCCTATGCAGCTCTGAGGAAAGATTCGGGCCCCGAGGTTGGGTGAGAGCCAGGTACGAGGAGGTGACAGGGAGAAGGTCTGTGTCTCCAGGGACCTCTTTTTGACCTTGAAGGGCAGTGGCCCCCAGAACTAGCCCAGACTCTTCCTAACCGGAATTAAAGGGATTGGAGAGAAATAAGGCTCTCCGCAATTGACTTCGCAGGTTCCAGGAAACTGCTTAAGACTCAGAACGGGGCAGGTGCCCGCTTCTGGCTGAATACTAGACAGGTTAACAGAGAACACCTTGTGTCTGACGAATCTCAAATTTATTCTTGCCCTAACTCGAGGGTGGTGGGTGGTGGGGATGGATTCAAACGGCAACGAAATCTGGGCCTCTTGCAGAGCGAGTCGTGAGAGGGTTGCAGTCTCGGCCCTCGGGGCTCTTGGGTCCTTGACCGCCACCCTGGGGCCCAAACCCTCATTCAGGAAGGTGGATGTGGGAAGGAGGAGCTGTGCAGAGTCAACGCTTCCTGCGCTGTTAAGGCCAAGCCACTGTCACCTCACTGTCCCGCCACAGTGCCTGTGTGACTCCCCTAAGCACCTCAAGTTCACTTTTAGTGTTGGTTCTTATAACAGGGAGCCCCGTCACCTGTCACCTTCTTTTTCTCTCCGTCTGTTTCAGTCCTTACCGCGATCCAGCCACACCTCACCCTCTCCCTGTCCCCTCCCTCTTTCTTGGGCTAGCTTGTCCCGAGCGACCCGCGGTCCTGTCCTGGTCACTACAACAGCTTCAGAGCACCCACTGGTTACTCCTCCTTACTTCCAACTATATTCCTCTTCTCCACCGCCCCCCCCAACACCAAATCTGTTAGCATTTCTCCTCTTCCCTCTTTCCTGGCTGGCCAGGCCAGATCCCATCGGACTGTGTCAGCTGGCCAAAGCACTCCTTTCGCCCTCTCCATCTTTCTCAGTCGACCAGGTGAGTTAGTTGACGGCCCTTAGTCCTTTCTACTGCTTCTTGAGGGTCCTCATCTCTCTCCTTACCCATTGCTCGCCCACCTTGACCAGAGCTCCTCTGTCACTGTGTTGCCTGGCCGTCATCCCTCCCTTCACGATCCTTTGCTGTAGATCCCTGCCTGTCAGCGTCCCCACCAGAACTCCCCTGGGCCTCCCCCCCAACACCCCGAGTTCGTCCGAATCCCTCTCAGTCTGGCGGTCGGCCTTCGGGGGCAGCTCACCTTACAGCTCTCGCAGGTGAGCAGCCCATAGTGGTATCCGGACACCTTGTCTCCGCACACCGGGCATAGCTCGTCCAGGTCCTCGTCGTACGAATAGTCCATGCCCTCGGCGGCTGCCTGGGGTGGGGTGGGAGAATAGAAAGGCAAAAGTCACCACAGAGTGATCACTGGCAGCCCAGGGGCTGAGGGTACAGAACCAGGGAAGGGGCAGTGGGCGGCGGCGCAGCAGAGCCAGGCGTGGCTCAGGGCTACTGCGGAGCCTTTATAGCGCCCGTGGGGCCCTGGAGAGACCAGCCTTCCCCCCCCCGGCTGGGGCTCCCTCCCTTTTCTCTCGCCTCTCCCGCCCCCGGTAGGGCGGGCGGGATTGCAGGCTGTGCACACAGTCTAAGGGGACTCAAACTGTGTTTCTAACTGGCCCTCTGGGGATCCAACTAGCCAAAGGCAGCACCACATAGGGCCTGGCCTTAATCCTTGCCAGGTGGACAGCCAGAGCCGTCGAGGCAGACGTTTGCAACCCAATGAGCTTCTCTGGCAACAAAAATCCCCCAAGACCGAGTCAAGCGCTCTTCTAGCTAATGAGTACTAGATGAGGACCAGCTACCAAGAAGAGGAAGGGTGGTGGGGTAGGGAAGAGGGAGAGATTATGAGGGGAGACAGGTCCTGAAATCATGGCAAAACAGAATAAGTACTAGTGTTGGGTGAGACCCAGGGCAGATTTAGTGACAATGGGCAGAAACAGAAGGAAGGGTGGTCTACGGGTAGATTCAGAACAGAGACAGAGACCTCTGGAAGAAAAAGAGACCTAAAGCAGAAACAGAGCCAGTGAAGGTTCGGAAACAGAGGCTGAAAGAGGTAGCGACAGATATTCCTAAGAAATGACAACGGAAAAATAGTCACATGGAGATACACACACACACACACACACACACACAAACACACAAACACACACAGACACAGAATCAGAGATGGAGACTGAGAGAGAAGTAGAAATACCGAAATATGACCTCCAGATAGAGATGCTGAAGCCGAAAAAATGAAATAGAGACATTCAGAGGGGATTCGGGGGAGAGGCCCAGCCGCGGTGGCCAGGGCTTATAGACTAGGGCTGACTGAATCAAAGACCCCAAGAGAGACAGAGACCAAAGAATGGTTATGAAGACAGAAATAAATCCATGCAGACAGGGAGAGCCAGACTCCGGACAGAGATAAGAGTTAAAAGTCTAAAGAGAGACACAGACACTGAGAGAAACTGAGGCGTAAGAAACACAGGCGCACAGCAACAGGAGAAAGAACGAGACTTTGGGGGCTGGGGGAGGCACCCGAAACAAAATTATAAAGACGAGAGAGTAGAGCCAACGGAATAATGGAAATGGAGACAGAGACACAGCAGAGACTGGAACTGAGTGCCCAAAGCAGGATAGGGACTCAGGGAGGGGGAGAGAGACACGGGTAACGACCGAAGGGTGGCAACGGAGGCAAAAAAGCAGAAACAAAGACAAAAGAGACAGAGACAGAGACTTGGAGAGAGAAGTGGGTATCGAAGAAAGGCATAGAAACGCAGAAAGAGACGTGAAGGGTTAGCAAACGAGATTCAGAAAGAGACACACGATGACAGAGACGTGAGACACAGAGACAGAGATAATACACACAGAGACACGTCCAGAAACAGCAGAGACCGAGGAAAGGAAAGGAAATGGAAACAGAGACATTGAATTCAGAGAGGCAGAGACACTGACAGAAGCAGGGAAAGGGAGGAATGGAAACGGACACAGACAAACAGATGGAGGCAGAGACACACACTGAGATACAAATGACAGAGACATTAAAACGGGCACCCAGAGATAGAGAGACAGAGACAAACAGCAGCAATCGTCAGAGCCAGAGAGACAAAGTCAAAAACATCAAAGGCAGAGACAAACACACAGTGACAGAGACATGAGATCCAGGGAGGGAGACACTGCCAGGGAGAGAGACAGAGACATCGAGAGACACAGAGCCCTACAACTGCAGCAAAGACAAGAAAGCTCGCCTGCCTTGGAAGGACTCTTCCCGGAATCCTTGCCGCTGGGGCCCTGACAGTAGTGGGAAGCTGAGTGAGCCCGGGATCCGCCCGCCCCGTCCTGGTATCCAACCCCGCCCGACCCCCAGTCCCTAGCCTGCCTGCTCCTCCACCTCCTTTCTCTCTCGGTTGCCCTGTGGGGCTCCTGGGCCCTCTCCCTCTTGGGGTCATAGGCGCTGGGACCCACCTGCCCAGACGAACACCGGCCGGCTATAAGCCGCACCCCGTCCGGCAGCTGATAATCGGCACTACAGCTCAGCTCCGGGGAGAGTCAGCTCAGCGGTGCTGACAGCCCCTGGGGGCGGGGGCGCAGGGCTCTCCTGGGCGGCTTCCATCTGGGGAGCTCTTCTCCGCCCCCCGGCCCCGGCCTCCGCTTCCTCCTCAGAGGGGGGAGGGGGGAAAAAGCCCTACCGAACACCAAGCCTCTACATATAAGCCGCCACATCACTGCCCACAGCGACCCCCATTTTCAGAAGAGCTTGCTGGGGACCGTGATTCTTCGCGGCAGGGGTGCCCCCAGATTTCTGTTGCAAATGGAGACTCGGCATGTCTCATACACCTGTAAATACGGTATTCCTTCTCTAGCTAGCATAGAAAGCATAGTCTGGGGTATCAGATCCATGGACCTCACGCCCTCCCTCTATTTAGTACCTAAAAAGACCTGTATGATCTTGAGCAAGTCACTTAATCATATTGGACTCCGTTTTATCCTCTGCAAAAATGATTGTCATACAACATGATTTTTAAGATCTCTTTTAGTTCCATGTACTACGTTCTAAGCTCTAACATTCTATGTTCTAAAGTCCCTTTCTTCTTTGGCTTCTATGGTCTCTGATTTAAGGTTCTTTTCAGTTTTACCATTTTATGTCCTAATGTCCTTTTCAGTTCTGATGCGTTCTGACTCTAATATTGTATATTTTATGGGCCCTTTCAGTTTTAATATTCTAGGTTCCAAGGTCTTTTCCGATTGTCCGTCCTAAAAGCCTATCTCTGAGTTAGAACCCCTAACCCTGCTGCCTGCACTTCCCTCCTCCCTTTCTATCTGTGGCCGAGAAAATTTGGGATACTCAAAGATTCGATGCTCAAGCATCAGGGCTTAGTTCTGGGGGCAGAAGCCTTCCCAGCTTCACCTTTGGGAAAAAGAAAAAAATAACAACCCCATCAGTTTATACCCTTAACAAGCACGAATCAGCAGTCTCGGGATTGTTTGCAAGCCTGACTTAGATTAAAGGGGTGTTTGGTTTGGTAGTTTTTGTTCTTACGTTTTCTTCAACGTTCATGCAGTTGGAGAGGGGGTTGTCTGAGACCAATGCGGGTGAAGATGTGGGAGGAGACACACCCCAAACCCTACAGCGCGGAGAAGGTAAGACACCAGAGCGGGAAGAAATGTTCCCAGCTAGGGATGGAGATGGAGCCCAAACTCCATCCCTAAGTAACCCAACCCCCCCCCCAAAGTAACCCTAGGACTCAGAAAAGCCGGGAACTGAATGCTTTGAAGAATGAGCCTGCGGGCATTTGAAGAGAAGATCGAAAGAGTCTGAGAGGAAGGAGGGGGAAAAGCCTAGCATAACAACAACAAACATATATACCACTTTACATATCTATACTAGCTTAGTGATTACGAGCAGGTCACTTTTAACCTCTCTGTGTGCCTCAGTTTCCTCATCTGTAAAATGAGGAGGGTTGAATTAAATTACCTCTAAAGTCCTTTCCAACTCTAATAGTCTACACAGACAACTTCCTTTCTCTCAGGCTCAGTTGCCTCATCTGTATAATAGGCATAAAAATCCCTACACAAGGATACACAAGAATATTTTATTTCACTAGACTGCTAGGAGGAAAGAGCTTTGTCAATCTTAAAAAAGCTTGAAACGTGAACTATTGTTATTCAACTAAGAGTGAATGGAGTCGTGTAGACTGGCTTCTGGAAGAGCTGCTATTAAACCCTTACTCTTTTTATGCTAGCGGAATAGCAATCCACAGTCTCTGAATGCCTCCAAACGATGTTCTAGATTAAGGACAGGTTGCTGATTTGCATATGCAGAGAGAGTGCCCACACTGAGAATTCCCTTCTCAGATGAAATCACGGGTTCTGAAGTTAGATATGTGTACACAAAATATACATATGTGTATACCCTGGGCAAGTCACTTAACCCTCTTTGTCTCAGTTTCCTCATCTGTAAAGTGAGCTGGAGAAGGAAATGGCAAACCACTCCAGTATCTTGGCCAAGAAAACCCCAAATGGGATCACGAAGTGTCAGACACGACTGAAACGACTCAGGAGCAAGAACATACACGTATCTGTATACATATATACGTGATTTTATATTTTCAAAAAATACTTAAGCGCCTTTTGTATACAATATTCTGTGCCCGAAGTTCGGGGAGATATAGAATGTAGCTAAAAAGTATTTCATTTGAGCTTCTAGATAACCCCGTGTGATGGCAGCGCTATTAAAAAAAAAAAAGGCGACTTATCCCCATTTCACAGAGAAGAAAGCTGAAGACCAAAGAAGAGAAAGGAATATCGTCCCGAAGCGTGATTGAAAGCTGAAGAAGGCGTCGGGACTCGAATACAGGGTCACCCTACTCCTAACATCTCCAACTTTTTCACTGCCCTCGGCTGCTGCTAAATGTGCCCACTTGGGAAGACTTCTTTCACCGAAGGCCCGGGAAGGACTTGCAGGTGAAGGATGCTCTCTCCTTCCCTTGGCCTAGGAGAAGAAAGAGGTTCTGGCAGCGGGGGATTCGGGGATGAGGGGGTTCAGGTAAACAAGGCTCGAAGCTCCGAGGCTTCCCGTCGGCTTGGGTTCGGGTGTACCTTCCCTCAAGCCCCAGAGAGAAAGCGCAATAGGAGTGGAAGCCCCTTTCCACAGACTTGGGAGTGAGTGCGCACCTTTCCAGACGCGGGCAGCGTCCAAGACCAGGAGTGGCTCTATTCGCGGTGGTTCCGAACCTCCTTCCTCTACCCTCCCCACGGACACTCGAGATGTGGAGCCACAGTCTGTTTTTTAAAGTCCCTGTTTGTGTAGCGCTTCCAACCTTAATGAGAGCCCCAGGGAAGGCGGGACAGGAGTGATCCCCATTTAACAGATGGAGAGACTGAGGCTGGGAGAAGGCTCTTGGGACCACAGATTAAGGACTTAATTGAAGGGATTTTAGCTCACATAGACGATAGCGTAGTGGAGCGAAGGAGCAATGGCTCGGAGAGCAGTGGGCCGGAGTGGAGGCCAGGTTCTCTTGCTGCTGTTATTCTGAACAAAATTCTTAACCTCTTTCGGCCTCGATTTCCTTCTTTGATGAACAATAACAATATAATAATAATTAGCATTTAAGATTTGCAAAGCGCTTTACCTATGTTTTTTTAATTTGATTCTCACAACTATCAGTGCCAGAGGCAGCGCACATATCAATGTCCCCATTTGACAAATAAAGGAACAGAGGTCGAAAGAAGAGGCGTGACTTGATCAGTCCCACGGGTCAATAAGTACTCTAGTGTTTTCAGTGCCCCACAGGCTGTAGCACCCAAGGGTGAAATTAGGGCATGTCCCTAGGAAAGTCGGGCCAGAGTTAAGGGCCCTGGGGCAGGCTAAAAAAAAAAGCTAGATATATGGACTCAGATTTCTTTAAGGACTGATGTCATAGTCTAAAGTATTCCCAAGCAATCCCAAGGATTGCCAAATCACCTCAGCCAAAGACACCGGAGAGCAAACTTCTGGTGTCTGAAAAACTCGATCTTTAAATATAGAAGCATCCTCCTGAACAGTGCGGGTAATCCCTGGGCCCTGTTGCTTTTCTGAGCTCTGCTTTAGACGGAAGTGGAAAACTTGGGGCTGGCGTGGGGTGCAGTGGTTGTGGGAGGGTAGGAGGTGTTCAATCCCTTGGTAGCAATACAGTAGTCTGGGTTGGCTCGCCTTTCCAAAGTCGCCCCAGGTGAATCCTTAGCCCATCCTCTGAATCCCACCCCCAACATATGATGGTTCTCTTTCATCTGGGATGAGAAGAACCTGTACCTGGCACCAGGGAGACTGAACCCATGGGAGACTCAATGAGCCTCTGCAGCGCTCTCTCTCTCTCTCTCTCTCTCTCTCTCTCTCTCTCTCTCTCTCTCTCTCTCTCTCTCTCTCCCTCTCTCCCTGTCTCTCTTACATACGTGTCTTTGTACATACACACAGACATAGATACACACAGGTAGATACATGTACACACAGACTCCTTGAGAGTAAGGGGTGTCTCATGTCTTCTCCAGTTTCTAGCACAGAGCTTGGCGTAAAGTAGGAACTTCATAAATGCTTGCCGAGTGTGATTGAATGCCAGACACAGAGGCACATGCAGATATAGAAACATAGGGATACATATGAGGACATATCTTGGTACACAAACATACACAGACACAAAATCTTGAGTGATACACAGTGAAATACACACACAGGCAGACACAAACACAGGAACACACAGGTACAGTCAGATACAGATGCACAACCATAGATACACACACACACACACACACACACACACAGAGGCACAGAAACAGAGACACAGATGCTTATACTCCCAATGAGTATAAGGCACATGACTAGGGACACACAGATCTTAGATTAACAGCCCTACCCATACACAAACACTGTTAGACACAGATGCTCATAGAGACACAGAGATAGACATGCAACCAGGAAGATACAGATAGATACATAGACACACACTCACTGATACAGACATCTCTCCCCCATCACACAGGGAAGGAAGAGAAAGCTCAGAGCCCTGGGAAGAGGCTTATGGGTAATCAGAAAGAAAGAGTGGGGCTGGGGCTCAGGGATATGACTGCCACACTCAAACCCATTCCTCTACCCCCATTACCTCCCAGGGGAGTGTTTCCTGTGGCACAATGTTCTAAGTCCAGCCTGGTACAAGGTGCCTTGTTTTTTTCAGCAATGAGGACTTAGTGACAGGTAAAAATTAATAATAATAATAAACCTCCAATGGGGGTGGGGGCACAAAAACACAAAAGATGTTTCCTCTCTAGGTGGAATTAGGTTAGGCGGGAGGAGAATATCCAGCATTCCAGACTAGGGGCATTGGTAGAGTGCTAAAATGGAGATTGTTAGAGCTGGAAATAAAATAGTATAGTTGGAATGGATCTTGGACATCATGGAATTCACACTCAGCATCTTAAAGGTGAGAAAATGGAGGTCTATAGAGTAGAAGGGACTTGCCCATGGCTGCACAATTAGTTAGTACAGCTGAGCCTAGAGCCCAAGTCTTCTGACAGCTCCCCTGGTGCTCCCTCCATACCACACAATGCTCTAGCCAGAGAGGCTGCTCATCATTTGATCAGCTGTCTGATTGGGGAGTGGGGGGGGGGGAAGGGTCTGTCCTGTGGGCAGAGATGGTATGATGTAGCAGACTGGGCATTGGACTTACAGACAGGAGGACCTGAATTCAAATTCTTCCTCAGGCACTTAAGTTTTCTGATCCTGGGCAAGTCACTTCTCTGTGCCTCAGTTTTCTCATCTGCAAAATAGGGTCATTGAACTCAATGGCTTCTAAAGTCCTTTCCAGCTCTAAACCCATGATCCCATAATTCTAGGGGTACTGAAGGAGGCCAAGTGGGAGATGACATTTGGTAGCTTCAAATCCTCTTTTCATATTCTTCTCCCTCGGACCAAATGCACCTTTCACAATAATAAATCGGATTTCTGTGCACTTGAAGGTTTATAAAAGCCCTTTCCTTACAACCATCCCATGAAGAGAGTGCAAGTATTATCATCTCCATTTTACAGAGGGGATAATTGAGGCTCAGAAGGGAAGTGATTTGTTCAGAGCTCCTAAGGTCAAAGGGGAGGGGAAGGGGAGGCCCTTAGTCCTAGAGACAGGTAGAGATTGGCTCCCTTCTTCCTTCTTTCCAGTCTTACTTCAGTCCCAAATACTAATCCTAAGGGGGCTAAAGTGCGGCAGCCTCCAGAATGGCCAGAGCAAGTCTTCTTTAGAGAGAGAGGGGGCTCTCAGCTGTGGTGCATACCCAGACACAAATATGTTCACAAGGTATCAATGTATACAAAGATACAAATGCAGACAAGATGTGTGCACAGACACACACAGCTGAGTGAAAACTGAAAGGGATTAGTAAACCATGTTGGCCAACTCCGAGCTGGGCCCGGAGCTCAGAACCAAGAGGAAACCACCCCACCCCACCCCCACCCCTCAGGCCATGATTGCTGCCGGAGAGGAAGACTACAGCCTGTTTCCAGGCCCTCCTTCTTCAGAGGGGCCCTGACTGGTCACTGGCTGCACTCCAGGAGCCAGTGACTCTCCTAGCTGATGCCTCCCCACCTGACCAGTGCCAACAATCGTTCCCACCTCCCAATATTCCCATTGTCTTCTGTTTCTGAATGGAGGTAGCAAAGCTAGTGGAAACAGACACTTGAAATATGGAGAGGTATGGTTTTGAATTTTAGCTGTGACATGTAACCTTTGGGTGATCCTAAGCCACTCATTTCCCCTCTACGACCCTCAGTTTCTTCTTCTATTAAATGGGAATACTCACACTGCCTATTTCAAAGGAAAAAGCACTTTGTAAATCTTACAGCACTACAGAAATGAAAGCTTATTTTTTCCTTGGAAACCTCACCATGACACCCTTCAAGAAGGGCTAGAGTCTCCTGACTACCTTCAATGCCCCCAACCCGGGCCTCTATAATGAAGGCCAAAGCCAGAGCCGAGGCCTTGTCTCAACCAGTGTAGATCCCGTTACTTACTAGGAGCAGGGGCGCCTCTTGCAGGGCTCGGGGGGGCCGGCCGGCCGGACAGACAGACAGGCCAGAGCTGGGGCCGTGGCTAGGTTGTGGGTAAGGCGCAGGGAGCTCCCTCACGCCAGCAGGATGGGTGGGTGGGTGCTGGCTGCTAGCCCTGTCCTGGCCGTCCTTCTCCTCCTCCAGCTCCTTCCCTCCCATCTAGGGTTGGGGGGGGGGGCATAGGAGGGAGGCCCCCGCCTGAGGCCCAATCAAGTGTCTCATTGGTTTCTGCACACACGTGATTTGCTGTCTCTTCATTTTTTCTTAGGAGAAAAAAATAATAATAAGAGGACAGTGGGCTGGGGGGGTGGGAGGGTGGGGCCCTGGGGGAACAGGCATCTAATGCTCCCCAAGGTGGAGGGTAGATAAGGGGATCTATGCTGTCAATTAAGCCAAAGACAGAGATGGGTGGGAGGGAGCTCTTGGGGGGGGGGAGGAAAGCAGCTCATTATCGAGGTGGGAAGGCTGAGGGCCAACCTGATTTATGGGCCCATCCTCCACAGCCTACAGGGCTTCTTGGCCTCTCCGGCCTCTACTCCCCACTTGGCCTGTGGGGTCCTGGCCTGGGGACCCAGTCTGATTCCCAAGGGACACAGAGAAAAGAGTAAGCATAGACTGGGGCCCTGGATGGGCCTGCTAAAAGCTTTTATGCTGTCTGAATAGCTAGGGTCATGAGGCAGGGGGATGGACCACATGACCTTGAGAGGACAGCTTCCCTTCCCCCACCTTCCCAAAGCTCAGGAGGCAGATTTTAGTCCAACAGAAGAAAAAATTTCTTAACAATGGGAGTTTTCCAAAAACGGAATGAGCTGCCTTGGGAGAGAATAATGACTTTGATTTCTATAGTGCTTTAAAGTTTTCTGAGTATTTCCTAATTCTGTGAGGGAGGTAGGGCAAGTATTATAATTTTTAACAGATAGAGAAACTGAGACATTAAGTGACCTCAGCAAGTCACAGAGCTAGAAAGTGTCAAAATTTTTAAAGTCCCAACTTCAATGCAGGTTTCCTAATATGAAAACAAGTACTCTTTCTGTTCCACCACACCCTGTCCGTGGAGGTCTTTAAACAGAGGCCAGATGACCACTTGTCAGGGAAGAGGGAATTCCCAATGAAATATGGGCTGAGCTAGTTACCTTCTGAAATCCTTTCCATCTCTGAGATCCCAGGATATTATGAATCCTTCCATAATACCTCCCATTTCTACAATAGTTTAAGAATTTATTTATTAAATGTTTGTTTATTGGTTGACTGATTGACCTATAAGGTACTTTCTTCACAAGGATTCTACGCTATTGGTAAGGTAAATGCCACAGACAATTGGGGAGCTAGAAGAGACCTTCAAGACCTTCTAAACCCAAACCCTTCAATTGACAGATAAAGCAACTGAAACCCCAAGACATGAGATGATTTGGCCCAAGTCACTTAACCAAAGCTGGAATATCCTTTTTCTTTTAAACTAAATTATCAATTGCATTTATTAAACAGGTCTAATTTATCCAAAGTAATGAGGAAATGAAAGGCCTTCCCTAAGTAAATCATCCATAAATTGGACCTTATCCCTTCGATAATCAATGATTGCATGTTAAATATGTACATTCAATGCCTGTGTATGTTGTGTAAGGGTTAGGGAGACAGAAACTCTAAAGAAGATATGGTTTCTGCCCTCATAGAACTTACAGTCTACTGGTGGGAAGGGGGTATGGGGGGGGAGATAACAGACACATATGGCTGTCCTATACAAAGAAGCATGATACAACCATGAATAAATGAGGCTGGAGAAAGGTAGGGGAGGAAGGGATTAGAGAAGGCTTCCTGGAGGGGGTGGTATTTGAATGGGGCTTGAAAAGATGGGTAGGAATTCAACATGAATTTTTTTTTTATTTTGATGAAAATCTTCAAATAAATCAAATTTTTACCTTCTTTAAAAGAATGTACAAAAACATGAAATAGATAATTTTGATCATATAAAATTTAAAAGTTTTTTCACAAACAAAACCAATGCAACCAAAATGGAAAGTAATGCAGAAAACTGGGGGGGAGGGGGATTTGCAACAAGTTTCTCCATAAATGCCTCATTTCTCAAGTATATAGAGAACTGAGTCAAATTTATAAACACACAAGTCATTCCCCAATTGATAAGTGGTCAAAGGATATAAACAGGTAGTTTTCAGACAAAGAAATCAAAGCTATTTATAGTCATATAAAAAAATGCTCTAAATACATTTTTAAATGCAATTTAAAACAGTTCTGAGATCCTATCTCCAACCTATCAGATTGGCTAATATGACAAAAAGGAAAATCATAAATGTTGAGGGGATGTAGGAAAACTGGGACACTAATCAACTGTTGGTGGAGTTGTGAACTAGTCCAGCCATTCTGGAGAGCAATTTGGTTTTTTTTTTGTTTTGTTTTGTTTTGTTTTTGTTTGTTTTTGGCAAGGCAATTGGGGTTAAGTGACTTGCCCAGGGTCACACAGCTAGTAAGTGTCAAGTGTCTGGTCTGAGACCAAATTTGAACTCAGGTCCTCCTGACTCCAGGGCCAGTGCTCTGTCCACTGTGCCACCTAGCTGCCCTTGGAGAGCAATTTGGAACTATACCCAAAGGGCTATAAAACTGTGCATATTCTTTGATCCAGCAAAAAAAAAAAACATTATTAGGTCTATATCTCAAAGGTATTTTAGAAAGGGAGAGGAGGAAGGACCTAATTGTACAAAAATATTTAAGCAACTCTTTTCATAGTGACTAAAAAATTGGAAATTGAGGGGAGCCATTCCTCATCAATTGTGGAATGGCTGAACAAGCTGTGGTATATGATTGTGATGGAATATTATTGTGCTATAAGAAATGACAAGTAGGATGATTTCAAAAAAACCTGGAAAGACTTACCTGAACTGATGCAAAGTGAAGTGAACAGAACCAGCAAAACATTGTACACAGTAACAGCAATGTTCTATGATGAAGAACTGGGAATGACTTAGCTACTGTCAGCAATACAATGATCCAAGACAATCCCAAAGAACTCATGATGAAGCATGCTATCCCCTTCCGGAAAAAGAACTGATATTGTCTGAATACAGACCGAAGAATGCTATCCCTCTCTCCCTCCCTCCCTCCCTCCCTCCCTCCCTCCCTTCTTCCTTCCTTCCTTCCTTCCTTTCTTTCTTTCTTTCTTTCTTTCTTTCTTTCTTTCTTTCTTTCTTTCTTTCTTTCTTTCTTTCTTTTTCTTTCTTTCCTTCTTTTCTTTCTTTCTTTCTTTCTTTCTTTCTTTCTTTCTTTCTTTTCTTTCTTTCTTTCTTTCTTTCTTTCTTTCTTTCTTAGTTTTCTTGTACAAAATGACTAATATGGAAATGTTTTACATGATTGCGCATATATACTGGATCAGATTGCTTACTGTCTCAGAGAGGAAGGGATAGAATTTGGAACTCAAAACTTTAAAAAAAAAAAAAAAAGGCAGCTAGGTGGTGCAGTGGACAGGGCACCGGCCCTGGAGTCAGGAGGAACTGAGTTCAGATCCGGCCTCAGACACATAACACTTACTAGCTGTGTGACCCTGGGCAAGTCACTTAACCTCATTGCTTAAAAAAAAAAACCTTAAAAAAAACTCAAATGTTAAAAATTGTTTTAACATATCATTGGGGAAAAATAAAATATTATATGTATATTATATATACATTTGTTTAAGAATACACAGAATGGTATTTAACCTTTTTTTTTTAGTGGCATAGTAGAAAGAACATTAAATTAGGTAGGAGTCAGGAGAGCTGTATTCTCATCCTAACTCTGCCAAGACTCTTAATACCTGGAAAGTCACTTCCCTTCTTAAATTTCATTTTCCTTATCTAGAATATAAAAAGGTTAGATAATTAGATGATCTCCAGGGTCCCTTCCAGATTGAGAATAGTTCTTTAGAAGGTTTGCTCCTTGGATAGAATGTAAACTCCTTGATGCCAGGGACTGCTTCCTTTTGGTCATTGTTATCACCAGTGCCTATTATATAGTAGGTGCTTAATAAATGCTTGTTAATTGATTAGTTAATTAACTCAATATTCCAAGGCCCCATGTTAGTTTTCTGTTGTCTAAGGAAGCTTCCTGCTCTGAAATCTTAAAAGAAAGTACAATAGGGCTAGAGATGAGCTTGACCAATGGGCCTTTTGAGACCCTCAAACCCTTTTCTCTAATCCTCTCTTGAAGGTCTCTATCCCTGGAGGAAGCTTCACTTCTTTCCCCCTTGGTCTAGTGGACTTGTGGCCTCTATTACAAGCACCTTCTTCCCTCAGAGCCTTTTTTCATAATAGGATCATCCATCTAGAGTGGAAAGGGCCCTTAGAGCCCCTCTAGTTCAAGCCCATTACTTTACAAATGAAGAAACTGAGGCCCAGAGAAGCTAAGCAGCTTGCCCAAGGTCATACATGTAGTAAGCAGCAAAGGCAAGACTTGGACATAGGTCTTTTAATGCCAAATCAACCAATCAATAAGCATTTTTAAAAAATTATTATTATTATTATTTTGCTTTTTGGTGAGGCAATTGGGGTTAAGTGACTTGCCCAGGGTCACACAGCTAGTACGAGGCCAGATTTGAACTCAGGCCCTCCTGACTCCAAGGCTGGAACTCTATCTGCTGCACCACCTAGCTGCCCCTCAACAAGTATTTATTATGGACCTACTATGTGATAGGCACTGCGCTAAACACTGTCACATACGAAGAGAAAAAAGAAATATTGTTGTTATTCTGTCATGTCCAACTCTTCATGATCCCCTTTGAGGTTTTCTTGGCAAAGATTTTGGAGTGGTTTGCCATTTCCTTCTCCAGCCCATTTTACAGATGAGCAAACTGAGGTAAACAAGGTTAAGTGACATGCCCCAGGTCCCAAAGCTAGTAAATGTGTGAGATCAGATTTGAACTCAGGACGATGAGTCTTCCTAACTCCAGGTCTAGAGCTCTATCCATTGTACCACCTAGTTACCCTATTCAGAAATACGTGTCTACGTGTCTTTTCAGAAATCTGGTGTCCTTTTCACAACACCTGCTGCCTCTCATCAGCTCTCTCCAAAGGCAGCAATAGACTCACATATTCCTGTTTCAAAGCCCACCCCAAAGGACCCTTTGCATCCTTCCCCAAAATTGCCTTTTCCCAAGTGAGGGGCAGCTCTATCTCTC